ACACACACACACACAAGCACACACACACACACACACACACACACACACACACACACATTAGTCTATGAACAGATACGCAAATAGAAAGTTTAGGATGCCTGAGAATCAACCTGTTGAGGTAGTATGGATTAATTTTGCTTCTAAACTTTAGACAGGAGGGCAAAAAAGCAGAGAATTTCTCACCTCATGGTTGCTGTGAATGAGGTTGCAGTTCTATGTAGTTTTTCAGTCGAGTGGGGTTTTCAGAGATCTGGTGGTCTGTCTGTAGGTATTCTGCTAATGAAACCCAGGACAAGACTTTATAAGCAACAGATGATGTAATCTGCCCACGTCTCCGTACAATAGGAGAGTGGAATCTGGAAGTGGAAAGAAAACTGGCAAGTTGCTGCTCAGAGAAACTGAAACTTAAGCAGAGATGGAGACTGACATTGTGTGTGTGTTTTAAGATGGAATGTAATGAATTCATCTTATAAATTCAGGTACTCAGGATTTCTATTCAACTGATTCTGTCTTATATCTGTATGTATTTGCTTTCAAGTGGATAGCTCCTTCTCTGATACCAACATCATTCTTCACGTGACCAATTCCAAAATGCACAGGCAGCCACAGAATTAAAAAAACAAAAGAAACTTCCAGAAGGTTTGCAGAACACAGAATTTTTTCTCTTTCTCTCTCCCTCAGCTCCTCTCTCTCTCTCTTTCTCTCTTTTTCTCCCCCCCCCCATGTCTTTCTCTTTAATAAGTATATCTTGTTAAAAAGTGAAGTTGTGGTGTATTAAAACTCCCTGGGAACCCTGCCTCTCCACATGGGTTTATCTTCTATCTCATGCATATTTGGGCTCATTTATCTCATTCTACTTTGCTTCTTGAATATTAGTATTTGGTCTTTCATCCAAACATTTCATCATGTATATTGTCATACAGAGATAATTGAGAGATTTTTAAAAGATGTCCTTAGGGTTTTCTTTATATGTGATATGAATATGCGTCTGTATGGCCAATTTCATGTCTCAATAACTCAGCCTTCCAATTTTATGGCTTCAAGAACTGAACACCTCCTGTCTTCTCTAAAGACTTTGGTAGTGTTGATATCCGCATGAATGTCTTTGCTTCCGTCCTTGTGATGGTGCATGAGTGGATTCTACAGTTTTCTCTTTCCACCCAAACAGGGAATATACATATTTTGTGAAGTTTCTAACCAAACGCACTCAAAGAATTGGTGATCTTAGAACATTTTGCTGAATATTTATAGTTAATTGGAAAAGATTTCAGGATTTCACATGGTCCTGTTCAAGTGATCAAAGGTGATCTTCATCACGTTACCAAAACTCCACCCGTGGAGAATGCTGATGCTGCCATCCTCTCAATGTCTGTCCTGCAAAGAGCCATGAAGTTGATACTACGCCATGTGATCACTGTGTTTTACTTCCGTTGCTTCTGGCCTCCCTGGGCTGTGTGAGTTGGTTCTACAGTTCTTGGTTTGTTCAAAATATTTTAATAAAACCTTTTCACGAGCTGGGTTTGTGGCTCAGACATAGAATGCTCACCTGGCATGTGTGAGGCACTGGGTTCTATCCTCAGCACCACATAAATATAAATAAAAGAAAGATATTGGGTCTATCTATAACTAAAAAAAATATTTTTAAAAAGTTTCATTATATTTTGTAGTGCATATTAATTGAAAAAATAATGGGTTCCTCTATGACATTTTCATTCACAAACATTTTCATACATATAACAAACTTGGATTCTATTCATGAAATCTATTACCCTGCCTTACCCCTTCTCCCCTTCCCTCACACACTTTCCTTTCCTGTGTATTCTTTTGTTATGTGGCCAACAAAACACACTGTAAGAGTTAGTACTTTTTGCAAATTTTAATGAATACTTTGGATCAGGTGAAGAAGGAGATTATATCACATAGCTCGCCATAAACACTTCAAAAGATGTTCTTAGGGCTCTCTTTATATGTGATATGAATATATACACATATAAAATATATCACTATAGGGAGCTATTGATGTCATTTTCAGCTTGCACATTCCAGACAGGTTTTTTTTTCCTTTCTTTTTCTTTCCCTAAAACATCAAAAGTCTTATTAGCTGTGAATAAATTTTTAGTGATGTGGTTTGTTCAGCTTTTTCTTTGGTGTAACCAAAAGACCTGTCAGGAATGATTTTAGAGGAGGAAAAGTTGTGTTGCTCTTAGATCTTGAAGTGCCTGAGGAGACCTGGCCACATAAAAAAGAAACCCTGGCAGTGTGTGAAGACCTGCACCTGTAATCCTAGGTGCTCTGGAGGCTGAGACAGGAAGATTGCGAGTTCAAAGCCAGCCTCAGCAACTATAAGGCACTGAGCAACTCAGTGAGACCCTGTCTCTAAAAAAAATACAAAAAAGAGCTTGGGATGTGGCTCAGTGGTTGAGTGTCCCCCGATTTCAATTCCCAGTACCACCAGCCCTCCCCCCAAAAGAACCCCTTTCTGTTGAATTCTCCTTGGTCCAGGACAACAGCCTCACTGAAGTAGGAAGCAGTTCATTTCCAAGGCACAGTCATTAAGAAAAAGATCCTGGTGGATCCAGCAGCTGCTGGGTGTCAAACAGGATTTTCATTCAGGGCCAATGAGTGCAGGGATGCCAGGAGAGAGGATGGATGCTCCTGGCCTAGGCACTAAGGAAGCAGGGAGAAGGCAGGAGCAGGCAGGCAGGGGTAAGGGCATGTGCTGTTGCCACCTAATTTTTTATTTCATTAGTTATACATTTTGGGGGAAATAGCTGGACAAAGTGGTGCATGCCTGCAATCTACTGACTTGGGAGGCTAAGGCAGGAGAATTGGAAGTTCAAAGATAGTGTGAACAACTTAGGCCCTAAGCATTTTAGAGAGACTGTGTCTCAAAATTAAAAAAATATATATATATATAATAAGTGCTGGGAATGTATAAGAATTAACTGAAAGAACTTGACTCAACTGTTGTGAAGGGTGTCCCACCCCAGGGGCAAGCACTGTGAGGAAGTCTGTAAGTTTTAAAAGTATGCTTTCTTACTAGAAGGGTTTTAGGCTGGGTACCCCATCACCACCACCTCAGTGCAATTCTTGTTACTACCATTTAATTGCATTTCCAAATAGCTAAATAACTATGCATTGAGTAGTTTAACAGTCTATGATATTTGTAATACACTTTTATCTTTCAACATGTTTCCCAATATTCTTGTTTGATTTTCTTTACAATCTTGGGATATATTGGAAAAATGTATTAGAAAATAATAAATTCTATAAGTAGTATAACCTCATATCTGGTCTTTCTGGAATGTAGAGTATTGTTCTGAAGACAGAGCAGACACACCAATATTATAAAACATTGGTAGTTATTATCTAAGTTAGGGCAGAAAACAAAAAGTTATACATTTTGGGAGGCAGCAAGCAGGGAAGCTTGTTGTTCTATTTGTTGTGAGTAGATGAAATGGGGGGTTGGGCTCCTTCCTCAAAACTCTGGGTTCAGCTGATCTGTGAGCCTCAGAGCCCATTCATAGTACAGCAGGGCCTCCTTCACTTCCCCTCTCAATTTGTGGCTGAGCCCCAGGAGGCTGACAGTCTCCACAACACTCACATTCTGTTTCACACGATTTTTAGCCAGTTTTTCCAGAGCACTTATAAGTTTTTTCCTGGCAAAGGACATTTCTGGTATCTTTAGACCTTTTAAATAATGGGTGATTGCTTTGTCTTCAGATTTCATGTGAACTTGTTGGAAACGGCCATAGAGGTAATGAATGACTTGCTGTATGTTGTCAGCAATATTGTCCATGCATAATGCTTTCTGAAAAATTTTCTCTGCCTCTCTGTGTTGGTCTACTTCTGCATACATTTCAGCCATATGAGCATACGCTATCTTGAATCTTGGCTTTAATCTTATAGCCTCTCGAAATTGTTTTTTAGCCAATCGAACCAATCTGTCCACATTTTCTCTTTCCTGCCCTATAGGGTTCATATTTGTTGCATTCTTTACTTGAATCAGTTTTGTCCTGTAGCAAAGCCCTAACTGGTGATGCAGGGAGGCAGAGTCCGGTCTTGCCTCTAAGGCTTTCTTAAGGAGCTCAATAGCTTTATCCACACAGCCCTTTGTTCGGTAAAATTTGCTTGCATATTGAAAGACATAGGGCTGGGAGGATGTGCTGTTCAGAGCTTCCTCAATATAGCCTTCTCCCTCTTTTTCCTGTCCTACATCCTGAAGCTTCAGGGCAAGAAGAACCTTAACATATGCATCTTCTGGGTTTAAGCTGACAGCTCTCCTCAGGGACTCTAGAGAAATTACGTTTTCATCATCATAATCCAGTCGGAAGGAGGAGATGGCGAACCCAAGGCTGAATTCAGGGTTTTCAGGCTCCACTCTCAGAGCCCTTTCAAAGCAGGCCTTGGCCCGCTCATAATTCTTTCTCCCACACTTCAGCATGGCCCATCCTTCCTCACACTCCATCTCAGGAGACTCCAGCCTGTAGTGGGAGGGACTTGCGAACTTCTTGCAAGTGTCCTCCACCTTGTCCAGGTAAGTCTGGGCTTCTGCCAATCTGCCCATGTGGTGATACACCCAGGCATAGTTGCCCCAGGTCACCAGGCTCCTCAGGTCCACCTGGTCTGTGTGCTCCCTCTGGACCAAGTCTTCAGCTTCTCTCAAGCTCTGCAGGGCCTCCTCATGCTGGCCTTTCAGGTGCTTCACATAGGCCAGGAGGTTGTGAGTCCCCCCTATATTATATCTGGTGTCAATTTCTTCCATGACCCTGCTTTCTAAATCCGGTATTTCATTATCTTCAATTTTCAGCCCCCACGTGAAGTGACATCTCAACTGCCCCAGCTTGTCCTGGATCCCAGGATCATGTGCATTCTCACTGTGAAACAAAAGTGGATTTTCTCTGTTAGGTGAGATACAGCCATCAGGGAAAACCCAGTGAAACCTCTATTACTGTAGGAGTGCAAACTCAAATTTTGATGGTATATAGATTTTTGAATTATGCATGAATTAGTGAGTGTAATTTCCTTGGCTTCACAGCGTTATTCTGGCACATTCGAAGCAGATCACCACTTTGATCTTCAAAGTCTCATTCGTAAAATTATGATTACAATAGCACTTGTCCCACTGACATTTTGGAACATTAATATGCCTATCCATGTAAAGAGCTTACACCATATCACATGCTATCTAGGAGGTTTTTATTTAAGTATTATTGAAAAATGAGAGAGACAGACTGGTAATGCAGAACTTTAGTGAACACTAATTACTTCAGGACTATAATGGGCATGAATACAACCAATAACAACCACTGAGAACTGTATTTGACAAAGGATTTTTGTCCACACTGAGGAATGACACAAGGCCTTATACAGTCTAGGCTTTGCTCTACCACTGAACTATATATCCCCAGCCCTTTGTATTTTATTTTGATAGAAGGTCTTGCTAAAATGCCCAGACTGGGTTTCTCTTGGCATAGCATCCTGATAGCTTGGAATTACAGAAAAGCAACCTTGAGCCTGCCTTTTTTTAACTTTTACTTGGAATAAATATAAAATCAAAGATAGTTGTGATGAGATCTAGTGCATCTTATACCCAAATTCTCCCATTAACTATAACTTTTATAACTCTAGTACAGTATCAATATAAGGTAATTAGTTTGGGTACCACAACATGTGTGCAGCTCCATCATTCTTTCACAAAGTAAACCTTTGGAAGCACCACACTGATGCATATGGAGATCTACTCCATCAGCACATTGTCACCTCATCTACCCCTTTTAGTCCTACCAGTGGCTGCCTCTGCTACATGCTCAAAAATTCATAGCCATGCACAACTAAAAACCTGTTCTTTATGTCTGTTATTTTATCATTTCAAGAATGTCGGGTACTTAGAGAATGTTAAACAAATGGGTCATTCAACACATAAAAATCATAAATGTGAACAATCATTAGCACAGTGACAGAAAAAAGGGTCAGGTTGAGCGAATGGTGCAGAAAATCCATCGACAACATTTACCTCCCTATCAGGATTAGAAACACTCAATAGATGAATAACAAAATCCTAAACCCATGCAAGTTTATGTATGAAAAATGCACAGCTAATATTAACCTCAATGAAGAAACAATGAAAACTATTTCCAACATCTGGAACAAGATAAGGATTCTGGTTTTCACCTTTTCCAATCAACATAAATCTTTTATGTACAACAGTCTCAAGAGGCCACACAAGAAGTGTTACAACTACTAAACAAATGAAGAATGCAAAATCAGTATGCAAAACTCAGTTGTGTTTCTAAACACAAGCAATGAACAATTCAAAAGAAACGAAGAAAACAATCCTGTTTACAATAGCATGGAGAAGAATGAAGTACTAGTTATAAACTCAATCAAGAAGGCATAGGAGATTATACTGAACACTGCAAGCTATTTTAGAAAGAAAGAAGACACACAAAAATGTGAAAGACATCCCAAATACATGAGCCAGAAGTTTAATATTGCTAAGTTGTCAGTACTGCCCCAAATGAGCTACAGATGCAGTGCAATCCCTACCAAAGTTCCAATGAAAGTTTCTTTCAGGAGTACAAAATGTCATCTTAAAATTCATGTGGTATTTCAAAGGGACTGAAATAACCAAAATAATCTTGAGAACAAAGAACAAAGCTGGACCTCTCACACTTTCTGACTTCAGAGGTTACATTAAAGCTTGAGTACTCAAAACATTATGGTATGGCATAAGGACCGTATGAAAGCAAGTAGAAACACATAGACCAATGCAAGAAAAGAGAGAGCCTGGAAATAAGCACTTGACTATAGGATGACATTGGTCAGCCCAGGCTGTCATAAAAATATAGCATCTGGTGGTGGACATCTTCTCACAGTTCTGGAAGCTACAGATGCCAGTTCAAGTGTGTACCTGTAGTTCCTAGCAAGGGCTGCCCCCCTGATGTTTAGATTGCCAATTTATGTTACATTCTCACTTGGCCATCTTTCCCTGTCCCATGGACCCAGAGAACATGGGTGTCTCTTCCCCTTCTTCTAAAGAAATTGGCCCTAGAGAAGTAAGGCCTCATCCTAAATATTTCCCCTCAATCATTCCTATCTCCTCCTAGACTCTGTATCAAGAGACTGTCACATTAAGGACAGTATTTAGAGATTTGAACTTGTGATTTGGGGAGGGGATACAATTCAGTTCAGAACTCTGGTGAAGCAATTTTTGACAAGAATGTCATGGCCACTGACTGGGGTAAAGGACAGTCTTTACAGCTACTGTTGTGGAAAAACTAGAACACCAGTCGTACAACAGTGTGTTGGACCCCTACTGTATGCAGTATATCAAATGACTCATAATGGATTAAAAACCTAAATGTGAGACTAAAACAATAAAACTTACAGAGGAAAATAAAAGGGAAAAGCTTCTTGACATTGCATTTGGCAATGCTTTGTTGGCTGTGACAACCAAATCACAGGAAACAACAGAAAAAGGATGAGTTGGACTTGACCAAAATGAAGAAATTTGTGCATCAAAGGTCACCATCAACAGAGTGAGAAAAGAGCTCCCAGAAATGATAGAAAGTATTTGCAACCACTATCTGAAATGGGTGTATCTTTAGCATTAGTTGATGCTCAAAACAATTGGATACGGGTTTAAAAGCAACACTTGTGCATGGATGTTTATTGCAGCACTGTCTATAGCCAAAGGTGTCAACTGCACAAATGTTCATGAATTGATAAATGGATAAGCAGATGTCATATACCCCACAACTGGATATTATTCAGCCATGGAAAGCAACAAAGGCTGATACATGTTACATAAGGGAAGAGCCTTTAAATCATGATGGTCCCCAAGTGTAGGTGTGTGTGCCTGTAATCAAGCTTATCAGGAGGCTGAGGCAAGGGGACTGCAAGTCTAAGGCTACCCTGGGCAACTTAGTGAGAGCCCTTATCACAATATAATATGAAAAAGGGCTAGGAATGTAGCTCTATGGTAGAGTGCTTGCCTCACCTGAGATAGGTCCTGGGTTCAATGTTCAGTGCTGCCCACTCCAAAAAGCAAATTTATGGCAGATGAAGGGATACAGGACAAAAGGACATTGTAGTGTTCATTTTTTTTTCTTTTGGTTTTGAGATTTCTCCTGAGTGTGATTGTAAACTCTATTCCTGCTCTGATGTAACTTCATGGTATTTGTTCCTGGATATCTACAGTGTGACTTCAGTGGCTACTTCTTCATCCTGGTGTACAGCCCAATACCTGTGTGTCTGACCCATGACCAAGTGTCCTCTGTCCCCTCACAGGAAACTTCTTTATACTGGAAAAGCATCCAGTGGCTTCTGTTGGATCTTCTCTACCTTCTTCACAACAAAGTAACCACTCTCTACTGCAGACATGTCCATCAGGAGAGACAGAGGCAGCCACTCCAAGACACAGGGGAAATAACAGAAGCAAGTTCTCACTAATAGATCCCAGAGAAAAGACAGCAAGACCCCTTGCAGGGAGAATAGACTCGGGGAGCTTCAGAGACACTGAAGCTTAACCAGTGGGTGGGGAGAAAAAGAGAAAGAAGACCGCCCTGTGGGATGATCCTTGTTAGTGTCCATTCATGTGACAGAACCAAATAGGCAAATGCAGAAAATTTGCTGGGGCCTGGAGCAAGGGCCGAGTAGGAAGTGACAATGTATAGGAGGTGTCTTCTCACAGTTATTAGACATCCTTAAACTACATCATGGTGATGCTCTCACAACACGGTGAAGGTGCTAAATACCAATAAATTGTAGTGCTTAAAATTTTTAAATGGCAAATGATGTCGCATTTTACACATATTTCTTTCCTGGTACACATTGAAATTAAAATTTTAGAACTGATTAGGATGTCATCTGAAATGAGGTCAGGAACCTGCATTGTAACTCTTTTGGAGCAATAGGCTTAACAGTTTAATGAACTGTCTTTTTTATATCTCAGCTCCACCTCTAATGGACTGGGTGACCTTAGCTTATCTAAATCTGATATCACCCCCACCTTGCAACATGAGGATAAATGATTTTCTCATTGTTTTCTTTTAAGATTTAAATTTAATAATTTACAAAACAGTTTTAGAAAACAGTCTGGCATTGAATAATTATTGAGGATGAGATAAGTATCATATATCCTTTGGTATTATTACTATTTCTCATTTTAGATATCAGTTACAAGTATATATTTGACACAGGGTTGACTTGTGGTTTTGTAGTTTCTGGAAATTCTGCCTCTCTCAAATTTTGTTCCCAGTGGAACTCTTAGGGGACATTTGCAAGTCAATATTAACTAGAGGATTTTTATCTTCTGATCTGAGTAGTTGCTTGATTTAAGATTTGGTTGGGACCATAGAGAAATTCCCATTGAGCCCTTCTCGTAAGGAAGATGTGAATGTTCCTAAGCTCAGAAGTCCAGCCAAGACCCGTGGACAGGTGGATGCCAAGAACCTGCAGGTAATGGGCAGCCCCAGGAAATGTGATCTGATCAACTTCAGTCTAATCACAGCTTCATCAGAGTTGGCTCCTCAGAAGGTGAGTTGAGGAGTCTCCAGAAGAAGGCCATGAGCTTCTCCCACCCCATCCCCACAGTGTCTCCCAAGACATTTGGGAGGTTCCACTGAGGCTCACATTGCTGTGTGGGTCCTAATTTTCCAGCAAAATGAGGAATGAAGAGAAAAAGATGTCTCTAATCAGAGATCCGACAAACTGGTCTCCTTTCCCTAGATGGAAAATAGTGTGATGAAAAAGAATCTCGCAATCTGGAATGATTTTCTCCTTTCCTGCAAACTCTCTCCCTTTTTTCTGTCCTTCTTTATGAAGCATGAAGATAGCTTCATCAGGCCAACAGAAATGAAAATGCCTACACTAACACAACAGCTCAAGTTCTGGTGTGAATGCACTAGCGGGTTACACACTCACATGTACACATCAGTCTATGAACAGATACTCAAATAGAAAATTTAGGATGTCTGAAAATCAACCTGTTGAGATAATATTGATTAACATTGCTTCTAAACGTTAAGACATAATGGCAAAACAGCAAAGAAATGAGGGTGCAGTCATGGGATAAATGGAGGAATACTGATTAGGCAAAGGGGAGGGAGAGGTGGGGAAAGGAAATGGGGACAGGAAAGATGTTGGAATGCAATAGAAGTCATTACCCTAGGTACATGTATGATTGCATATATGGTGTGAAGCTACATCAGGTACAACGAGAGATGAAAAGTTATGCTGCAGTTGTCTACAAAAGCAAAATGCATTCTGCTGTCATATATACCTAATTAAAATAAATAGATTAATTTAAAAATAAACAAATAAATAGCAGAGAAATTCTCACCTCATGGTTGCTGTGAATGAGGTTGCAGTTCTGAAGTATTTTCAGTCAAGTTGGTTTCTCAGAGATCTGGTTGTAGGTCTTCTTATAGTGAAACCTCCGGGCTTTATAAGCAACAGATGATATCATTTGAAGGTGTGTCCTTGGAATTTGGAACTGGAATCTGAAAGTCAAAAGTGCAACTCAACTTGGCATGTTCCTGGTCAAAGAAACTGAAACTTAAGCCGAGATAGAAATTCCTTCTTTGTTTCCTTCTGAGAACTGGTTGAGAGAAGGCTGTTGACAGCAGTTGTTCTGAGGTATGAATTCCTGTCTCTCAGCCTGGGGGACACTCTGGGTGCAAGGACGTGGGAGTTACTTCAGAGTCCCCTGAGTCAGGAGGACCTATGAAGATGGCTGTGTGAACTTGGAGAAGTCATGCCTCCCCCTCTGCTCCTGTTTGCCCATCTGGAACCAGGGATTGTTCAGACATGGCGTAAAATTCTATAATTCTCTGAATGGGAGTCTTATTCCAAGTGTGCTGCCTTTCTCTGAGAGGTTGTTTTACTAAGTAGTCTATCTTTTGCTTACCTTCAGAAGAGTCCTCAATGATCTATTAACCTCTTGTTTATTCATAGGAAGAGAGAAGCCCTATGTGACAGCATTCTGAGCGTTCAAACAGAGCACATTGGGGCTGAATGACAATGTGTTTCTCAGTGATGAGGCTCTCTATTCTAGCCCCTTAAGGTGATCTGATTCCCTAGAAATGGTTCTCATAGCCATGCATTGTTGAGAGCCACAGTCGAAGGGGCCCCAGCAAACCTCCAGCTTCCAGCAAACTTCCAGCTGCCAGCTGATGATTGGCTCACAGCGGGCCCAGCAAACTTCTAGCTGCCAACTTATTGGCTCCCCTGCGTTGATGCTCGTTGGGCTGTTTCCCCACCCTTTCAGACCACGGAGCTGCTCATTGGGGGACTTTTTTGGCTCCGCCCACGTGACCCAGCCAATCGGCCTCAAGAGCAGGAGGAGTGGGGGTGGTTGAGAGGCTTGTGGGAAGCTGGTGGTGGCAGTTGGGCTCTGAGGGTTTTTCCTAAGGAGCTGTGTGGTGTGGTGTGTGTGTTCTAAAAATAAAGTTCATTTCTTTTGACAAGTGGCTACTTAATTATGCCCAGTCAGACTGTGGCAATGCATAGGAGAACATTCTTCAGAGCTGTGTGAAGTCCCCTTGGTGTAATGAAAACTGTCCTTGCTCTGCCTTTACCTGCCCATGCAATCTTCTGAATTCATAGGCAGAGCCCAAGAAGAATACCTCTGTGCTGCATGTAAGATTAGGGGTACAGCTTTGGTTCTTTTTACTGATGTTCTGCTGAGTTAAGCTTTTCCTAACTTTCTCTGGAAATTTCTCCATTTTCCTGGCAGGTGTGGTGATGTCATGGCTCTCCAGTAGCTTACAGAGAGCAAACTCACCCTAGCGTCAGTTCATTTAATCATGGAAAAGCCCTTTATTGGGAGGAGGTGTCAGACTTGCTTCTCTGGAAAGCTGAATCTGAATGTGCTGGGCCTGTCATGTATAATTTTGGTACCACAGTCAACCATGTTTTCCCTGTGGCCTGAACATAAAAACAATATTGTTCTCAAACAGAGAAGAACATCAGGCAATTGAACTGGGATAAAGGGAATATGAGATAAAAGATGGAAATTCCTGAAGATGTTTTTTTCTTTTTTGGCTTTTCCCTCATAGTTGTGTGGTCAAGAGTCATGGTGCAAGTACAAATGCAGCATTTTATGCTTTGCGGATGAGTGTTGATTTGTCAAAAGCACATTACCAGTGACGAGTGTATTGCTGGACCATACGTCCTTCTTACGTGCAGGAACCCAGTGACTGGCCAGCATTGGGAAATACATTTGCCTCACACCCTACCAAGGAACAAGAGCCCTTTGTGGACTCTCATGGAGGTTGGTGTCTGGAATCTGGACTGCTTAGAAAAGAAGAGGATTGAGGGAAGCAGTTCTGCTTTTACTTAGCTTTCTCGGTGCAGGCGTATCTGGTATAGCATATAAAGAGGCTTCCTAACGTAGTAAAAAGCTTCCTGGTTCTTATATGTGAGTCAGTTTGACAGAAATAAATGATCAACTTGGTTTAGGAGTGAGTGTGTTGATGGTGAGAAAGTATGTTATGGCTAAGTTGTGATGTGTCCCTCAAAAGCTCATGGGAGAGGCAATGCAAGAAAATTTAGAGGTGAAATGTCTAGTTAGGAGAGCCTTAACCTAATCGGTGCGTGAATTCACTTGAATGAATTAACTGGGTGATAATGTAGGCAGGTAGGGTGAGGCTGGATGAAGTGGGTCAGTGGAGGTGTGCTTTTGGGGTATATATTTTGTCTCTGGTGAGCCAAGCATAGTGTATCTCTCTTTCCTGATTGTCACATCCTGAGTTGTTGTTTTCCTCCTCATGCCCTTCTGCCCTCACATTCCACCACACCTCTGGCACAGAACAATGGAGTTGGCCATTTATGGTTTGAGACTTCTGAAACTGCAAGACCCCCCATCCCGCAAAAAACTATTTTATTTTCCTCATTTAAATTTGTTCTTGTCAGGTCTTTCAGTCACAGTAGCAAAAAAAACCTACCTAAAACAAAACTGACAAAGATTGGCCCCTTGACATGCTGAGATGCTTAGATGGGGCCTAAAAATCCTAGTACCTCATACCTTGTTTCTCACCTCCTAAATGCAGGGGAGAAGATTCTATTCAATCTGCTGCTATTGTTATAGTTAAAGCTTCATTCCAGGGTTTCATAAACTGACTTCCAGACCACTCACGTGTAATCGAATCAAGCCTTTATTGAAGCACACTGGTGGCGGCTGACCAGAAAGAACATAAAGCTGTTCCCCTGATCAGCCCTAAACAATTGCAAAGGCACTCCTTATAAGCCTGAAAACCACAAAAGGGATGTTCCTGGGGATCTAGCCAATGCAAGCAAGCCAGGTTACAGAAGCGGGACAATGCAGTCAAATGGAGGGAAGCCTAACCGATCATAGTTAGCCCAGTCACCCCAGTTACAGAAACAGCACCCTGTTACCCTAGTTACATGTTGAGAGCCACAGCCAAAGGGGCCCCAGCAAACTTCTAGCTGCCAGCTGATGATTGGCTCACAGTGGCCCCAGCAACATCTAGCTGATTGGCTCCTCTGCGATGATGTTCATTGGGCTATTTCCCTGCCCTTCAGACTGCCAGGAGATGATTGGCTCACAGCA